TAAGTCTTGTACAAATCATGGAATTAATCCTAAAATTACTGTGATTTATGAATGATTCGTCCAAGAATTTACTTAAGCTTCTTTTCATAATTATATTTACAAATCGCTTGAATTTTCCTTACAAATTCCATATAAGTCACCTCAGAGACACATTGAAATTTTACCCTTAAATTGAATTCCCTTGGGTTTTTTCCTCAGAATTTACTTGGAGCTCACTTGAGAATTTACTTGAAATTATTTTTAGAATTAGCTTCAATTTCATAAATAGAAATAGAAATATTTTGGAAGAATCTTCAGAATTCAATACATGCTTTCAAATAAACAATAGTTTATAAAGCTTACATATGTATTTTAGTCTGTTAGCATCTTTAACTAAATTACATATGTACTTATTTATTAAATATTGAAGTTTTAACAGGATTTTTAATTTAAAAAAACTACAAGCGACAGCCTTATGGGGTTGTACGCAATAGTAACGTAGGACAACGTGGTCTTATATAATAAATATTATTTGTTAACTGCAGCAGGAGCTTGTGTTTTGTGTAGGAATAGAAATTTGAGCGGGGTTCTCTCTGTTTATACTCTTTAGTATGACGCGCTTGACATAGGTGGCCCACAGCGACTCACGAAGAGCTACTGATTCCGATCAATAGCGGTGCGGCTTCTTTCTACTTCTATGGATGCTCGCTTGCAGGCAGCCTTTCGTTGTGCACTGGAGAACAATGTTCAACGCCACACGCCGAAAGCACTGCTGCTGCTGCTGCTGATGATGATGTCGGTGACCGGACACCACCACATACGGTGATTGGAACTGAATCCGATCAGCGGTTGAGGCCAGCCTTGATAGCTAGCTGCTTGCGGGGAGCTTTTTGCTGTATACCGGAGAACACCATCACTCACCACGCGGTGATTGAATAAACATCGTTTGGTGAGACTGGATGGAATTCAACTTTGAAATCTGTGTAAGGGAAATTGCATTTCGCAGGCAATCGGTGATAATTTTAACTATCATAGCAACAATTGCGAATTCGTGCAATTTTCAATAGTGACATTTTGAAAAATGATTAAGTCTTAAGTTGTACAGATGCGTTAGAATATTTCTGATCGATTGGTGATAACATTATTGAAATTGGTCCAGGGGAAGCTGAGTTAATAACGTTCGGAATCTTTCAATATTTTGTTACATGTCCCATTTTTGGTTTTCAACAACAAACAAATGATAATTTTTCAGTGTGTATTTCTTTATGAAAAGCCAATCCAGTTTCCTACAACTTTGTCTCAGACGTCATTTTGATTAGATGAGCCGTTTTCGTGCTATGATGCAAGACAAATATTGACAATGACAATGACAATGACACGATCTCAGAACCGAAGGACATCGCTGACAATTTAGGGAACTATTTTGCCGGCATGTCCGCTGTCAGTGGCTACGACAGCGATTTCGTCCAGCGCGTCAAACCTTCCACAAGCAGCATTCGTGACCTGCGAATTCCATACGATGTCCCTTCCCTCCAGATCAACGATGCTCTTACCTTCCGGGAACTTCAGTTTGCCCTCGGCAGCAGTACTGGTAAATCTGCCGGGCCGGACGAGATTGGATACCCGGTGTTAAAAAACCTCTCCCTCGACGGAAAAACGGGGCTCTTCAACGACCTATGGCTCACTGACTCGTATCCTCTGGAAACAAAGCCTGGTAGTGCCCATTCCGAAGAACAACGCGGCGAGTGGAGAAGCTTCCTCCTTTAGGCCGATTGCGCTCACTTGCTGCGCGGCAAAAGTGATGGAGAGAATGGTAAATCGTCGACTTAGGCAGTTCCTGGAGTCTAACAGTCTCCTTGACGAACGGCAGCATGCATTCCGGCATTCCGGCTCCTCCACTTACTTTGCAGCCCTCGGGAATGTACTCAAGGAAGCCCAGGACAACGGTCACCATGCGGAGTTAGTATCCCTTGATATATCAAAGGCGTTCAACAGAACGTGGACGCCTGGCGTCATCAGGCAGCTCATCGGCTGGGGCCTGAAAGGCCACATCACGCATTTTGTACGGAATTTCCTCCTTGATCGTACCTTCCAGGTGACTGTCGGGAACACTCGATCGGATCCGTTCCCCGAGGAAACTGGAGTGCCCCAGGGATCCGTCATAGCGGTTACGCTATTCCTGGTGGCAATGAACGGGGTGTTCAGACGACTGCCCAAGAACGTGCACGTAATCGTCTATGCCGATGACATACTCATCGTCGTAACGGGACGAACGACTAAACGGACCAGGAATATTGCCCAAGCAGCTGTCTCCGCTGTCAGCAGGTGGGCGCTTTCTGTTGGTTTCCAGCTCTCCGCTCCAAAGAGTGTACGGTGCCATATCTGCCACTCGGGCCATCTGATTCGGGAACCACCGATCACCATCCAGGACCATCCAATTCCGCTTAAGAAAACAGTACGTGTTCTGGGGGTAGTTCTGGATCGGACTTTAAGTTTCGACCAGCACTTCAGATCGGTGAAAGAAAACTGTCGTAACCGCGAGATCCGCCTTCGTGTCGCCCGGGCTGTTATCGACAGTCGACTTTTCTACGGCATTGAAATTACCTGCTTAGCCACCGAGAAGCTGAACCGCATCCTCGCTCCGGTATACAATACCTACGTACGCATCGTATCCGGCCTTCTACCTTCCACGCCTGCAGACGCTGCTTGTGCGGAAATCGGAGTCCTCCCTTTCCGCTATCGAACTGCTGCAGCTACTGCTACGAAAGCCGCTGCCCTCGCTGCTAAGACATCCGGGAATGATAGGGTCTTTCTCCTCAACGAGGGGAACAGAGCCCTCCGCACTGCAGCCAACCTTGACCTCCCCCCAGTGGCCAGGGTCCACTGGCATGGAGAGAAAAGTTGGCGATCTAACGTTATCAAAATAGATAAGCGGATTAAGAGAGGATTCCAAGCCGGAGATAACTATGTAGCGTTGAGGCGTTCAGTTGCAGAACTTCTTGGGTCGGTCTATCCGGGGCACGTTCCTCGCTTTACGGACGGATCGCGATCACGGGCTGGAGTGGGACTCGGAGTGGCAGGACCAAACTCCGCAACAAGTCAAAATCTACCGGAGGAGTGTTTCGTTTTTTCCGCAGAAGCCGCTGCTATTCTTGATGCAGCCATCACTCCTGCAGATCAACCGATCCTTGTGCTAACGGACTCACACAGCGTCATCCAGGCGCTGGAAGCCGAAGCCCCGCGCCACCCCTGGATACAAGCCATTACACGATATGCCCCACCCTCAACCGTTTTTACGTGGATTCCCGGGCACTGCGATGTTCCTGGAAATGAGGCTGCGGACAGGCTGGCGGGATCCGGTCCATCTGGTCCCTGCTTCACCAGGAACGTACCACTCCTAGACGTCAAGCGTTGGATCGCGAATATTATCATTGAAGCCTGGCAGGAGGAATGGTTTCAGTCGCGGACCACTTTCCTGAGAAAGATCAAAGAAACCGTACGACCCTGCCTAGACAGCCACAAGTACAAGGACCAACGGATCATTTCAAGACTCCGGACCGGCCATGCGAGGATTTCCCACAATTTTGGTGGGACACCCTTCCACAAGGTTTGTCCAATCTGCAGCATTCCTGCCTCGGTGGAACACGTGCTGTGTGTCTGCCCAGAGTTTCAAAGGCTACGCGAACAACACCGACTCCCAGAGAACATCAGGGAGCTACTTGGCAACGACCCCTCGACGCTGGCTGCGCTGATTGCTTTCTTGAAGGACGCCCACCTGTACAACCAAATCTAGCACTCTCGTCGTTGACTGCGCTGTCCGTGTTCTTCCACCTTCCTATTTTCCTGCCGTCGGGGTATCTCTGCCGGACTGGGGCACTGTTTCTTACGGTGGAGCTCTACCTTGTTCGTGCATCCATGCCTCACCACAGTCCAGATGTAACTCCCATTTTACATTAAGTTTTTTTTTCTAAATGTTGTTTCAGAGCCAGTTTTACGTTACGTTAATGTTAGACTGAAACGTTTCCTTAGAGGCAGGCCCTAAGCCTGACCTTCTACTATCAAATGTGATAAAAAAAAAAAAAAATGAATATGTCGTTTTAAAAAATTAGGCGAGACTCAAAATGCCCTAATTCCAACACAAACTTGGTTACTTTGGCCCTAGCGAACAATTATACAATGTTTCATGGAATTCTAACAGGTAAAATGTAAAATTCCTTTATTATCCACGTCAAATAAATTTTCTCATTTGATTGTCAATCTGTATCCTTCCTATCCTATCCTATTGTAACTCGATTTCCAAAAATATTACTGTTTGTCCCCTAACCTTACCTGCCATGCCTTGCAGTTAAGCAAACGATCAATCGAGCATCCAACACCTGTTGATAGATTCCGCGGAAAGCACGCATTCAACTTTCAGAACACGCTTCTTCTCGGAACTTGCAGCATGCTATTTTCACCTTGACTGCCACCATCACCCTTGAACTTCATCTGCAGCGGCATCGGCTGGCTTCCGGTCTATTTTTAGCATCAGAATCTGGAACATACCCGCTGACTGCACACAATTCAAAAATCAAATTTCAGTTCCCCACGGTTCTGCAGTGACTCCGGACATCGAGTTTCTCCGAGTGTCCCCAGTGGCATACTTTTTAACGGTGAGTTCCCCCTGAGCGAAACTCTCGGCTCGCCGAGTGGAAGAAGCGAGACCGTGCGAAGCGGGACGGCACCAAAACAGAGAGTGAGAGCACATTTCCCGACCATGGCACACGCGTGTGGGGGTGGTTTGGTCGATTGGGAAAGAGCAGTGTGTTTTTCCGCCCCAGAACATCATCATCGTCGTCGTCGTCGTCGTCGTCATCGTTGTCGAGGAAAGATGGGTTCCAATGGGTGGGTGAAAACGTTTGTCCGTTGACGATCGGTTAGTGTTGTTTCGAACACGACGCTGAACACGACGCGTGTGTGAAAGTGTGGCCGAGTGACGACTGCTGCACCCCTAAAAGTGCAGTTGATTTACTGTTTTTTTTTCGGTTGTCATCCAGTTCGGGAATGCGCGCCACACCGTCGACGGTGGGCATGTGAAGTTGCGAAAGACGAAGAAGAAACTATCACTTCGCCTGGATTGTGTCTTATCAGCAGCAGCGGCAACGTAGAGGGGAGACTTTGAGTGGGTGGGAAATCGTAGAGTTGTGATTGCATTTTCTGTGTCGATTTGATTTCGGGAAATTTTGATGTTCGGTTGATTGTTTCAAGATAGATGTTTCAATTTGAATAAATGTTCGACTAGCTTAGTGCCCAAGCAAAAATAAAAAAAAAGCTTACCGCTTACGTAGAGTGCCCTTTGATTGCCGTTATCGGTGGCAGGTAGTGATAGTGTGATAGTGGTAATTACGTATAGTGAAGTAGCAGAATTTTATCCACGTAGTAGTGATTTCCTGTAGTTTGTCGGGAAGCGTTTATGAAGCCGTCCTGTGGCAAGCCGGGAAGCAACAATTTGTTGGAGGCGGTCGATGATTGCCCGATCTGGAACGGGGCAGCGGGAGCGGGAGTGCAATTCTCACACGTGCATTTTTAATAAGTAAACCTTGAAGAAAACCAGACGCGCTTCGAGTGCTGCGAAAGTGTTGAAAATTGTTCATATGTGAAGCGAAAGTCGTTGGCTGAAAATCCAATTAGAAGACAACGATAGTTTGCTTGGGAATTGAGAACAAGCACACGGAGAACAACAAGCTGGATAATTTGCTGGCGGTGTTGTGGGAGTTGTGATACTTTGTTGTATGTAGAAAGGGAAAAATCTGAATGCAGTGAAAAAGTTTGATAACCACTGAAGAAAGTGTTCCGTACACTGCGGGGAATATGTGTTCGGTTACTTTTGATGGATCGAAGGATATTTGCCGTTCACATTTAGTTTGATTGGGTAAGTTTACGAGTTTTTGCTTTGATTTAATTAAATAAGCAAATGAATTAGCAATAGAGGTACCTTAACAGAACTCCACATTCATCGACATCGAGAGCTAACGTCAATATGATGCAGGTTTAAGCATTTAGAAATCAGAGGTATGGAATCTTTTGTGAACCTCCTACTGCGGAATGACCTTGACTTTCGGTTTAATCGCGAAACGCGAGATGACTGACCTTATGGAGTTGTGCATAGTTTATTGCGCCACAGCAAATATTCGGCATACTTTATTTGAAAAATGGAGATTTGGCTTACAAACAGCTGGTTTTGACGACATTAATTTCATCTATATTCTTACGAAATTTTCTACCATGTTTGGTAAGCTGAAAGTAGAATTCAGAAGCAAAATTTCCGTTTTTTCCGAAAGTTTGTTCAAATGTTCACCTGAAGTTTCTCAATATTTGTTTTGGACGACATCCGGGATGTTTTTAGAATTTTCTTAAAACTTACTCCAGAAGTGCTTCTTAATTCTTTCTTTGGAAGTTTTTTCGGCTTCCTGCAGAAGCTAATTCAAAAATTGTCTGGATTTTTTTAGTCCGAATGCTCCTGGAAAGCAATTTTTCCGTTTTTATTCCAACAGTTTTAATGTTTACCTTCGAGAACGACATAAATATTATTTGAAATAGTAAATACTTGATACCGATAAGCTAGAAAATAATCTGGCAACGCTGGCCCAGTTATCGCGTTGAATTTGCTAACTGGGCTGCACTTTTAGCCCAGCTAGTAAACAAGTACTGTATTCGGAAGAAACATCGTTCTCTTCTCTTAATTCATTACCATTCGTGCATTTACTCAAAGGCGTTCCAATGCGGTCAAAGGATTGATTTTTGTTGAACACAGCTGGATCGAGCAGACGCACCAATCTACTCAAAGGTTAAATTTTGTCAGACGAAACTAAGTGCAACATCTAAACCCTAAACGATCTGGTGAAATTTCAAGAAATATGGGTGAATCAGTGGCCTTGTACTATTTGTACCCCATAAACGGGTGAAGGGGTACCCGGTTACCCACGCTTTTTACGAAGCTCGGACAATAAGATAGCGCCAAACAATATTCTGCAAAGTTGTAGGTTTAGATAAGAATTGAAAGATGGCGTATATGAATTCCAGAATGGACCCCAATGGTTCCGGAAACCTCAGAGGAAGTAGCCAATCTTTGATTTCAACGGAATCAAACGTTCATCAAATTTTCAGAAATTTATTAATATGTCATTAGACACCGTGATAACTCACTAGAGTGACAATGGCCACTCAATGTCCCTGGAACAGCAGGAGGAAGTGGCAAAATCTAGCCATGCGACATATCAACATTTTCAGAATTTGATGGATATGTCATTAGAGACTATACCAAATGACAAGAGTGACAATGGCCATCCTATGTCCCTGGAACAGGTTTCGGAAGCCAGAAGTAGCCAATTTCTAATTTCAACAAAACCAGACGTGCGGCACATCAAAATTTCCAGAAATGCATGGACATTTTATTATATACCATGCCAATTGAGAAAAATGACAATGGCCACCCAATGTCCTTGGAACAGGTTCGTTAAGCCCCTGAGGAAAAGGCTTTTCTCTAGTTTCAGCAGAAGCTAGTTATGCGGCATATTAAACTTTTCAGCATTTTATGGTCATGTAAACCCAACCGGGGGATGTAAGATTTGCTTACAATTATGTGGGATTCATCATCAGAGGATGTTAGTGGAGACCACATGAACCGAGGATGCGATATACCTAGCTGCGGTCCAATGTAAGAAAATTGGAGAACGAAAAATGTAGAGTGTATTAGTGAGGTAAATTAGTTATGTCGAAAAAAAAAAGGATACAGACTGCCGACTAGACTCGAACCACGAACGTTGCGATTATCAGACCTGTGCTTTCTCCATTGCTCTCTCCATGCTTCTGAATTTGGATAGCCTAAAAGCAAACATGAAGCGCTCATTTTCTTGCATACTCGACTTCGTATGCTTTTTCTGCTGGAGAGACTCGAGGCAAGTGTGTGCGTCTTTCTACAATGTTCTACAATGTGCGTCGTTCTACAAGCTTACTGGTATTGTCGGAAGCGTAGATAGAACACGAAATAAAAAAGACAAAAAACCATTACATCGCCTGCATGGTCAATTTCTAACATTCGTTGCGATGTTCATGAACAGAGGATGATAGGAAACGGAACTAACATTCGTTGTAATAGATTTTTGGTTTGCGTGTATAGACCATGCCAATTGACAAGAGTGACAATGAACCAATGTCCCTGGAACAGGTTCCGGAAGCCCTGAAGGATGTGGTGAACCCCCAATTTCAACAGAAGCTAGTCATTAGTCAATTAGCTTAAGATTTTAATTATCTGTAGCCTTTTGTGCTTTACGGTTACTCTCTTTGAGAATTATCTTATAAATCTCTGGAGGGATAACCGTTTTGAATATATCTTTCGCGAACAGAGACTTTGAGAGACTTTTTACATAAAAAGGTACTACAAAGACTTTTGTAGTTTAGCAAGACACACGTTTTTCTTTTAAAATATCGCTGTTTCCTCTATTTTAGAATGAGATATTACCAAATTTAATTGCAAAAGTGATTGAACTAAAATAAGTAAAACTTAAGATAAAGAAAAAATGTATCTTCAGTTTTCCCATATAATATGCACTAAAGTATGCCCTTTTAAAAGATGGCTAAAAAACGTCTGTACGTTAGTTATGTATTAAGTTATGTATTTTGACGAGTTCTAAAAGTTTTTTGAACACAGTGCTTACGAAAAATTTGAAATAAAAAAGTTAGAGATGAAAAACTGATTTTTTGGGTGCACCCTAACACAGTTCAGAAAAAAATCCTTTAAAATGAAAACGGTAAGAGATACAAAAAAACTTTTTCCAACAAAGTTGCTTGAAATCAATTCACCAACAACTTCTTTGAAAAATGTGTGTCTTTATTTTTTTAAATAAGAAAGTTAGTTTTGGGTTTCTAAAAATTACAGGACCACCCTAATGTTTGAAGGCACTAAAAGAAGGATAATTTTAAGAAGAAAAACTTCACTGAAGACACCAAACGTCTAAATCCTAAAGCAACAGTACCATGGACTTTTGTCTTGCCAAATTCCAATCCTGGACCACTGTGCAATGGTGACGTAGGATTACGTGAACTTATATAAATATTATATAACTCTTATTTGTTAACTGCAGCAGGAGCTTGTGTTTTGTGTAGGAATTGCAATTTGAGCGGGGTTCTCTCTGTTTATACTCTTTTGTATGACACGCTTGACATAGATGGCCCACAATGACTCACGAAGAGCTACTGATTCCGATCAATAGCGGTGCGGCTTCTTCCTCCTTCTATGGATGCTCATGTCGGCTGCAGCTCGCTGCTTGTAGGCAGCCTTTCGTTGTGTACTGGAGAACACCACCACTCACCACGCGGTGATAGAATAAGCACCGTTCGAGGAGACCAGATGGAACTCAACTTTGAAATCTGTTGCTTTTCGCAGGCAATCGGTGATAATTTTAATTATCATAGCAATAGTGACAATTTGAAAAATAATAAAGTCTTAATTTTAACAGATTCATAGAAAAAAATCCTATCGATTGGCGTATTAAGAATTAAAATCCATTATCTCTGGATCAAAGTAAGACCATTTTCATGCCGCGACCCACTTTGGTTTTTTAAATTGCACCCCTAATGCAACCTTAAAGTACATGGTATGTTAGATTCAATCATATCTAGATAGAGCTGGAATAACGCGTAACAGCTTTTTTTCCTTTGATTTGTTTTCCGTCGATCTTGTTTTCCGTGCTGAGCACCAATGCTACCGACGCCAGGGAGGCAGCTCCAACACCTGGACCCTACTTATCGATCCACTTCCCTACTTCCCCGAAGGAAGGCGTGATCAGAGATGTTATGGCTCAGAACATCCCGGCAACGCCGACTGGGATTGAACCCAGGCCTGCTGGGGTGAGAGGCAATCACGCTTACCGCTACACCACCGGCGCCGCTCGTAACAGCTTTTGTAATCAATGACTTCTCTCAATGATTTTTAGGAATTCAAGGCACGCCCACGCAAACCAATATTATCGTCGGGTAGGGGAAGTCTTACCATACCTGATGGTGATTTGCACGGGCGAGCCTTGACTTTCAAGACATCATCGAAAGAAGTCATTGTTTACAAAAGCTTTTAAGCCCTAATTTCATTTCTATCTTGATATGGGAACTGACATCCGATTGATGACCTTGACAGATGTCCAGAAAATACTCTTTATTTATGGTGGACCGTTTTGTCGGGATGGTTGAGTAATGCTGAGTTATTAGGGTGTTAAACACAGATGAGGCTGGTAAGCTGTATGATGTTTGGAATGAAGGTGACGCGCTTGGCATAGATGGCCCACAGCGACACACGAAGAGCTACTGATTCCGATCAATAGCGGTGCGGTTTCTTCCTCCTTCTATGGATGCTCATGTGGGCTGCAGCTCACTGCTTGCAGGCAGCCTTTCGTTGTATACTGGAGAACAATGTTCAACGCCACGCGCCGAAAGCACTGCTGCTGCTGATGCCGACGACCGGACACCACCACACACGGTGATTGGAACTGAATCCGATCAGCGGTTTAGGTCAGCCTTGATAGCAAGCTGCTTACGGGGAGCCCTTCGTTGTGTACTGAAGAACACCACCACGCACCACGAGGTGGTTGAATAAACACCGTTTGGTGAGACCGGATGGAATTCTACTTTGAAATCTGTGCTAGGGAAATTGCTTTTCGCAGGCAATCGGTGATAATTTTCATTCGTGCAATTTTCAATGGTGACATTTTGAAAACAATAAAGTCTTAAACTCAGCAGATGCGTCGTAATATTTCTGATCGATTGGTGATAAAATTATTGAAATTGGTCCAGATGCAATTGAGTTATTAACGTTCGAAATCTTTCATAATTTTGTTACATGTTCCATTTCCGGTTTTCACAAAGTGTACCCCCATATAG